TAAGGGTGCGACTATGCAGACGCGAGCGAGCGAATTTTCCGAGCGAGCGAGAATATGTGGCGAGAAGAGGCGAGACGCGATAAATATCAAAACCTGTCAGATATGTGCGAGAACCAGAAATTCGCTCTCGCCAGCGTTATTTCTCGCTTCTCGTTTGTGCATGGTTTTCCTTTGCGAAAACTAAATCGCTCGCAACCTCTCGCTCGCTCTAAATTCGCGTCTGCATAGTCGCACCCTTAGTTCGCTGGCTTCGTTGTCCTTTCTTAGACATTTTAAAACAAAACTATTCACTAGTGCTTGGACACGACAATGCTAAAACCACGTGCTTCGTGTAAGAACGCCGATTGGTGGGAGATTTTTATTCCTGCCGTTGGGATGGTCTAAGGCAGGGGTGGCCAAAACTTGGCGCATTGGACGACTACAAGTGGCGCTTCAGTCGGTTCCGAGCAACATTGCCAGATTTGGCTTCATTGCAATTATGAATATTACATAGGAAATTAATTTTTTACAGTGTGTCTTGGCAAGTGTATTTCTTACTCAATTCGGTGCAATCGACCTGTTGACCTTTTTTTTTTCTTTTTTTTTTGTTTGTATGTTACACGATGCATTCGTGTTCATGTACACCACTGATGTCATATAGAACTATTTTATACGGGTAGCTACACTACAACCGCATTTTTCATTGCTTGTTCTGTGGCAAATCTGAACTTTCGGCTTATAAATTGAAATACCTAAATAAGGGGTGGCCGAAATTTTTCTCCGCCCCGGGCTGCTAACACTCACGGTACGCCACTGCGCATGTGAACTCGTCTATCAAAAAATTGGCGCATGGTATGCAAAAGGTTGGCCACCCCTTGTCTAAGGTCTACGCATATGTGGGTGGCGGTTTTATGAGGCAACAAAAGACAAGTGTTTTGCAGAGGCAAACCGTTTATTCTGGACGAAATTGCTTACATAAATTTTTCCGTTGGAAAGGTTCTTAGATGCGATCTGGTCCTGAGTTGTAGGAATTTTCGACGGCGATCTGGTCCAGCGTCGTAGGGGCCCCTGGACAGCGTTGAACGAAAAGTTCGAAGTCTTGAAAGTCGATGCACAAAAGATGAACGGATGCACGAAAAAAAAAAAAAAAACGGAGATACACGAACACAACAGAAGTCTATTGGAAGTTCCGTTGTCCTTGGAATTGGTGCTTTTATCCTTTTTCCGATGTTGGCTTTTTGGTAATTGGACAGACCTTACATCATCTTCTTCTAATTGGTCTTCCACTTGTCTCCAGGTGTAAATGGAGCTTCTCATAGTTCGCGGAAAAGGTCGACTGGAGATGACACCATCTTTTCGATTTTGATCGCGTTTAATTGTTGACTATGACACATAACTCATTTTAATGTTTTTTTCCAGTTTCGTTTTAGTTTCTAAACTGCGTCTTAACTTTAATATTTTAAATTTTCTTCTTTTATATTTCAAAAATTTTGTTTTTGCTTCTACTCTTTATGAGCGTCGACGTCAAAGTCAGGTGTCGCCGTTTCGACGCTTATATAATTTGCTTTCTTGACGATTGAACTTAACAATTTTTTTATACAGTATATCTTTCTTTTGGGGGGCTATTTCCGGGGCCTCATATTCGCTTAGAAAATGGCGGGTTGCAGTCATGTGACAAAAATATAATGTTAACTAAACTGTGATTGGTTAAAGCGTAACAGCTATCGATAGCGTGGAACCCAGACGCATCACGACCGACTACCTGTAACGAAACCCGCTTAACATGGAGCATATGGAGCCTGTAATAGCGATTTGCCTAAGGTTCGTTAACTGCCTTTCGCTAAGGGGACTTATCGAATGTCCCGTGTATCTCGCTCGTTGAGTTATCGGAAGTGCTCCGAATAGGCCTATGAAAAATTCTTGAGATTACTCGACCAGATTCAATCCCGGGTCTTCTAGAGCGATAGACCCAGACCTTAACCGCCTTAGCCATTCGATCATCGAATTTAGACATTTATCTCAACATACCATCACTCCGTGAGAAGCAGGGTGCCGTTGAACCTTAATGGATATTCATATCTATTAAGATTCAGTTCAGCGGTTATCTACTCGGCCACTGAACACTGGTAGTTTACAACAACACTGAACAGTTGGTCGCAGGTTTTTCCCATCGACGGGCTAACCTCGGATTATCTTCACATGTAACACCTAAATACAGTCTGGTTTTCCATAAAGTTCTCTCAGATCTCCAATGGTTGCATCGTTTTATCCTACCAAACAAAACCCTTTTAATGTCTATAGGTTTGATTTATTTAGTTACGACAACAGGACACATGGGAAATCTGCCTCTCGGGAAAACTTATGGAAGACTGGCCCCTATTTAAGTGTCACAAACGTAAAGAAAACCCAGGAAACTGTTGGCCAGGCGCGAACCTAAAACCAAGTACCACCAGTGTTTAGTGGTTTTATCCACTGGGTCACTGGTGGGCTTTAATGTCGACAGGGCAGAAAGATATAAGCTTATATGAGAGATAAAGAATCCTGTCATTAAACTGTTTGTCTGCTTACAGAATATAAATAAGTGTGATAAATAATTCCCCAAGAAGAAAATAAATGAAAAGATTAATATTTTATATATTATTTAATATAATATTTAGATTTTATTTGTTATATAAAACACAGAAGAATTACAGTAACTTTTTATGACAGAATTACATTCTCGTCATTTCTGTAAAATAATGCCAAAAATATTTTAAATGAATAATATAATCTATACAATAAAATATCATACATGTTTCAATATACAATTTTTCTGTCGCTAGTATGAGACAGTGTTATGTCCGTATAACAAGGAACTTATTTTATTTTTAAAATAAGCAAAATAATGCCCTAAAAATAATTCGTCGTTATTAGTGAAAATAGTTTTTCTTAATTATATATTGTTTTAATTTTATTATTTTCATACAAATATTCACCAATATCCATTGAGGTTTAATCAAGTTTAATTGATAATCTGTATAAGGGAGAGGAGGTTAAGAGTACACATTGCGTGTTTCTCAAATTTGGTAACACTGAAGAGTTTCCCGTGCACACATTCTACTGTTGATGACAAAGTATGTTGGAGCCAACTTTTCTTGGTCTGTGAGTCGCTAGGGCATTGATAGCTTAGTAAGCAGTTTGTATTTCCGGAAGTTACTTTGCAAACTCAGGCTAAAAGCTTTCTCAGTTTTGTTGCTTGGGTTGTGAAAGTAAAGCTTTTAAAGGGATAAAGCTAGGGGTCAAAGCTAAAGTATGGGGTAGCTTTCGTGTCGATGTCTGGCTGGAATTACACTCTATCGGAAATCAACTCAAAGTTTATAGAATTTTGTCTCTGAGGTTAAGAATACTCATAGCAATGCCGGACAGTACTCAAGTCAGAGATTCTTTTATTTGTTATATAAAAGTCAGAAAAGAGCAGAAGGAAAAGGATAAAACCGAAAAATAAAAAAGATAAAAATAGAATAGGCGCAAAAAAGGACTTGGATTAGTGAAAAATGACCAGTAAGCTTCTACTTCGCGAGTTGATAGGTTTATAACGAGGCAAGCGTTTTTTGTCCTGGCTGCGAAGAATCTTTCGATGATGACTGCGTGTAATGTGGACAATTTTATTTTAACTCTTTCCACCCTGTGGACACACTAGGAGGGCCTCTTTTTTGGCTAGGCTTACAATGGGACGGGTGGGTGGCGAGGGACATATCCGAACGGATCACTCCCCCGAAAAATTCCAGGGTATTTTTCAACCCAGTCCGGATTCGTTCCTGGCTCCCCAGAGCGGTAGGCTGCCGTCTTGACCGCTCCGCCACCTGGCCACAGTGTTTAGGCTATAAAGGCACAGGTTTTATTTGTGATTGTTATTAGTGAGTACTCTTAAGCGATAAGTTGCTTACTCTTAACCTCCAGGGTAAGATTACGCATTGGAATCTCCTATTTTTAAATTTTTGTCAAAAGTACTTTTTTTTCTTTCTTTCTAACGTAGCCAAGCGGAAAGATGTAAAAATGATATATATTCAGACAAAATGTATTCTAATGTATGAGGCAAAATATATTCTGAATAATAAACCCGAAAAATGCAAAAAATAACAAAGTGTGTACTTTTTCCCTTCTCTCCCTTAACTAGAATCGAAAGCAGATATGGCACACTTTTTATGTTAGAGTTGACGTTTTTGAAAACTTAACTAATATAACCGATGACTTCGGGACAAAAGTAACCTTGAGTGTTAATCTCTTCCCATATTTCTCTCATCTGTAAATGAGTGATTTCTTGTGAAGTAATTCTTCCTTCCCTGAAAGCACAACTTCCTTGTTGTGTCAGAATGGCGGGTTTTAGAGTAATTTCTGGATGATCAGAAAGAGATACGCCAGCTTTCTGCCGACAAAAACCCGTAATATAAGCATCTTCAATGAAAAAATAGGGCGTAACCAATGCAGCCTGGTATAAATCTTTTGCCACCTGTTGAGGAAAAACATAACCCATTCCTGCACAGTAAGGTGGAAAAAACTGGCCCGGTAGATCACGATCTGTTACCATATATTTCCCATAGGCAGGAGGTATTCTTTCCCCCAATTCCTTCCTAAGGATTCTCCTTACTCGATTCTTATGACAGATGATGTTTCGATATTCCGGTGAATATTTCTTCAAAACTTTCAGTAAGTTAGGCACGTGAATCAAAAGATCATCGTCCGTTTTCATGAAATAGTCCGCCTCTGGACAATGAGTCACTGCCCACTTCAATCCCATGACCGATTTTAATGCCAAATTGCGAAATGATTCAGAAAAATTTTCCTGGAGAATATCGTCATAGCGATAACTTTCTCTAGAGATATTTTCCAGTGCCCGTGGATCACCAGCTAGTCCTAGTCCAAAAACGATTCTAAAGTTCAGAGATCTTTGTAGAGCTAGGAGACCCCACGTGTCCCGGATGGCTTTTCTTCTTTCCATGTTCAATGCACTTGATTCGATATATATCAGCAATTTAAGATGATCAGGATCGAAGGTTTGGCAGATACGCCGCGGTTTAAAAAGATAAGTATAATTGTGTGGATTAGAAACATTGCCTACATGGATAGTGACGTTATTGGGCAACACAATCCATCCACCGTCCGCTTCGGTTTCGGCTGGCATCTCTTCTGCTTCGTCAGAGTTTCTTGCTGATTTTGGCAGATCGTTCCGAAGTATTTTGTTTCTGGAATATTCGAAACCACGATCTGCCTCCAATTTTATTCGCGGAAAATAATGCGAACGGTTTCCTGCCAGCGAGACTGGACGTCGATGACTAAGTAATTCTCGAAAAACTCTTCTAGGTAAATGAGACGAACGTGAATAACGTCTCCAGGTCGTCTCTTCGTTCCAGTTTAAAGTAAAAATCACTCCGACCGCCAGAGATGAAGACATCACCACTACCATCATCCGTTTCAAGCATTTTCGGGATGGCATTCTGCTTTTCGTTTCTCTACTCATCTTTTTTTCTGAAAAAAATTAAAAATAAGAATTAAAACGAATCTGAATAAAAAAAATTCTTGAGAAATTACATTGTTGATTTCAATTTTTTCATTTGTGAAAGAGTTGACAAGCTCTTCATTTGTAATGAATTTGAATACCAAAGAAAATTAAGCCTAATGACTGAGCCAGATCTAAATTTATTATATGCACACTATTTATATTAAAAATTATTAACCGAGAGATCTGGAATAGACTGCATTCGATCAGTTAGCATTTTGATTCCAGATTATATGAGGAGTTGAAAAAAAATATTATCCATGATTCACTCAAATTTTTATTGATTTAAATTTTCAGTAAATGTTTATTAAAAAAAAAATATGGTTGCTTTAATTTTTAAAGGTTTAATTGACAAACTATATATTGATTTACGAAACCTACTGTAATCAAAGTTGCATCGTTGCAGATATCCATATTCGCATCTTTAAAGTAAATCTGTCCTGTACTACTGAAAATAGTTGTGATTTTGGTCCAAAACAATGCACTTCAATAGTTTGCATATGTCACCGCTGCAAAGTTTCACGACTCGGGATGGCATATTGCTTCACATCTTCCATTAAAGTAGACGTCGACTCTACAGATATCGCCATCATGGTCGGCACAACTGTAAATGTATAGTTTTATTTTATATCAGAAAAAGAATTTTAATTCCAACACAGTAAAAAATAATAATTCATTCGTAATTGTACCGCACATTTAAAAGAATTTTAAATAAAATTAAAGTTTAAAAATTTTCCCGTTTAGGCAATTATTTCGAAACTGAAGAAATTATGAAGATAGAATACATTATAATAAAAGAGTGGATTTTTCACAAGAACTAATACGATAGACGAATATAACAATTTAAGTCATATCATTAGAAGCAATATCGGAAAATTGATCGACCTTTTGAAACGAACTATGGACAAGTAGATGATCTCCACCATGCATTTTAGTATCATGCATTCTACAGTATATGAACAAGATTAGTAACAAGCAGGATGGCGATACCTATAGTGATAGGCTCTTGGAATCTTGGAACAGAGTCATCAAAGAGTAGTTATAGATCCATTTCCGAACACTTTTCAGACGGAATAAAAAGATTGCGCATCTTTTGGAGTGTTCTGCACTGAATATATGCACACTGTAATGATGTTCACGCAACAAAATTTATATTTAACAAGAAATAATATGAAAGCATTTTGAAATGATCTGACAGCTAAAAATATTTTGGTAGAAGTTTACCTAGGTAGTCCGAATGGCAGCACTTCCGGAATCTCGACATGTGTGTTTTGAAAGTTAATCTAGGTGTCACTGTCTTTAGTTTACAAGTTTTCTAACGTCATTTCAGTACTGGAATAATTTCCTAACATTGCGTGAATCATTTTTTTCGAAGTGTACAATTCATATTTTGTCGTTTATTGTTGTAATGGCGGAGCTTGGAAAACATCAACAATTTGTTTGCAAAAGTGTGCTTCAAGGATTTTTTTCATTTTATAGTATCGGAATATTCAGAATTTAATTGTGACAAGAGAAATAAAAATACATCAGTTGGTATGTTTGCCATAAAGTTTGATATGCAGTATGCAGATGCAGTTTGTTCTAAATGTGATGGTCGTCGTAAATTAAATTATCGAAAGGATCGTAATTTTTTTTAGATGTCACAAATGCAAGATGAACAGTTCGTCATTTAATGTAATTTTTAAACGTAAATTTGGGAAAATTTCTTGGGGAACTATTTTTTCGTTTACTTGGCATCTACTTTGCATAGAATGCACGTTGAGCGTCAGCTGTTTGGCTGTGGGCATGAGTAATCGAACAGCTGTTAACTGGACGAATTTCATACGACACATTATGATTCTTTCGTCATTTAATTTTACTAGAACGAAAATTGGATGGACCTGGAAACGTTGTCGAAATCGTCGAAATTGTTGAGAACAAAATGAAAAAAACTAGGAGAAAAGTTCGACCTTTTATTCAGCATACGAGTAAGTTTTATCCAGGAGCGCGACGTGTTTTAGTTTGGAATGAATCAGATATTATACCTTCAGTCTTGAAAGTAAGTGTCAAATAAATCCGAAAATCGTAAGAGGAAGAATGTAGACGTGCGTTAAGAACGCGGAAAAAGTTTCTACAATGGAAGAGGACAAAGTTACGATAGAATGATCCGAACCATGTTTATTACCGAATAAATCGGAGAAAAGGAATTAGAGATACGTTAACGGTGAGTGAAAGATTATTTCTTTAAATGCCGGTATAGTGAGTAGCTGCGCCCAGGGCCGGCGCGAGGCAGGTTCAGCGCGTTCGCCGGAACCCGGACCCGCGATGTACGAAAACTCATTAGACAATTTGCAGGACCCCTCCTTTATAGTAGATTGAATATTCGTGTGTGTGTGGAAAATTTTTGGCTTTCTACATATGAATGAGATTGCGAATTTAGATGACGAATATTTATTAAAATGTTGTCAAGATCTTCACTTACATTTGAAAGGAGATATCGACGGAACTGAAATGTCTGAAGAGATTAAGATGTTCCGATCGATAACGCAAGCTAATTATTCGGCTCTAGATGTGAGGAAATACATTATAAAAACAATCTTTCGGAAACATACCCAAATTTATTAATTGCGTTACAAATATTAGAGAGGTTGAGGCAGACGTTTTAAACGTGTACGTGTGACGTTCGGCGCCGCTTTCCCGTAAGCCTAAAAGTTTGACAATGGTGTTTGGATAGTCGGTGGAATCACGCTCGACATTCCAAACACCATCGTCAAGCGGAACCGAAACGGGAAAGCGGCACCGAACGTCACACGTACANCTTTATTTTGCAATAATTTATTACTCGTATATTTATGTTTTTAAAATAACCCTAGTAGCACGGATCACCAGACCTCCGAAACTTCCTCAATGCGAAGTTCTGCAGAGCTTAGATATGCCACTGAAAACTACAAAAATTGACCTCATGCTGCGAAAATGATTTTTGGTTACTTCATTTTTCTGTATTTATAAACTATCTAATATTTACAGGTTTCATAGACGTTAAAATTATTTTTAACTTTGTTAATTTCCAGGCTGTTATAACACGGGAAAGATTTTAAGCGTATCAAATTTGATCCTTTGGATTTTTCGCAAATTCGGCGTTTTGAGATTCCCTGAACCAAAAAGATTTTTGTTCAAAAAAAGGGGGGGAAATTCCCGGAGAGTGTGAGTGTTGGCGTCTATTTCGTTTATCTCAGGCGGGGTAAATATTTAGAAACAAAATTTGACATGGTAACTTGTATATAAGGGGCCTTGATGCTATTAAATATCCTCAAAATTAAGCTTTTTTTGCTTTTTAAATAATATAAAAGATATGTTTTAATAACAGATGGCGCCACACAGATTTTTTATATAGTATAGTAGTGTTTTTTAAGTTTAAATTTTTTTGAAACAGATCTTTAAAAGGAATAATTTTGTTGAATTATGATAATCTTTTATTACTTAAATTTTATATCCTAATGTAATTGAAAATAATCAGACTTCCTAATGATCCTCTTAACCTCCTGTTAGAATGCCAGGAAAGCCGAGCAAGAGCTATTACCAACATTTTTTCCTGGAACCCATAATCTATTAACGAGCAAATATTTTTTCCACAAGCATAACATATTATATTCAACAATCTAGTAATGCATATAACTAACCCGATACTGAATTTAAATATTCAAACGAACAGTCGGATTCTTTTTTCGGGCTACTTTAAGCTATTCTTAAAACGTATACCGTTCACTAGAGAGATCGACTATGTTGAAAGTTTGCACTTACAGAATGCTGCAATTGCACAATATGATAGAGAACTAAATTATTGGAAAATCTCGCATAACTATAAAATAAGCCGATGAAATAGTAAAAACTAGGCCAAGTATATCTTCCTCAATTCTTAAAAATCTCAGGAATAAAAAAATAGGTCTACAAACTTTATCTATGTAAAAGTTCTGGTATGGAAAATAAACCAGAATAAGAGTCCAACTACGTAAATTAAATACTTTCTTAAATATAATAAAAATTCCTTCTTATGTTTTAAGATATCAAATTAAATATTCGGAGTTATCAGATTCATTTTTCAGTGAATTACATAAGTTAAAATAATGATTTAGATTTTTGGCGGTTCATTTTCATTATGTTTGATTAATTTTTTTACCGGTATTCATTAGTGTTGTACTTGCGCTGCAATTAGTTATTTAATTTTAAAATTGAAATTTTGTTTACATATAAGTAAACTAACATTTTTATCAACAGAATAAAAAAAGACGAGTCAATATTTCATTCCGAAGGTTTTAGCTTCTTTTGCATAAATTTAGCATCGTATTCTAGTTTAACTATTTTTACACAACAGGATTTCTGCGTAGAACAAGCATATAAATTCTGTTCACGAGAAATTTAGAAGTTTAGTAGTTAACAATATTTTGGCCTAATTTTTAAATTCGTAAATCATCACTTTGTTACATATCACACATTTGAGAAATATTAGAGACTATACTTTAAAGAGACCGTTTGGAAATAATTAAAATAAGGCGAAAATTTTTAGGAAAAATTACACATGTTTGCAAAAAAATTTTTTTCCAGCTGCATGGGATATTTTTGTTGAATTATGTGTTTTAAAGATCGGAGATTCTAAAAATGACTTCCATAACATCCCATCGCATATGGGTTTTTTGCAAAATAAAAACAAATATTTGATAAAAACTCTTATTTATTACAATGAACTAAATATATTATATTTTCTTACAACTAACCAAAAAATTATTTCTGATATTTATACACAATTTTAGGTCTACTCTTTTTTCTTATTACACCTTTTCTTCTCTTTGATGTTTCTCCGAACTCGTTTCTGATTTCCTTCTCTGGTTTCTCGATAGAGCATCCAACAGTAGTCAGCTAACTAACAACAATTACTTTATTCGCAGAAAATTCCATGTTTACTAATTTATTGAATACAATAAATGTATTAGTTTATCTCTCTATTGTTTGTTGAGACTAGTAAATATGAAATTACGTATCGATTTTTCAATATATTGATTCTAATGCTTCGCGAAATAAAAAGTATACTGTTCCGCGCCCTCAAAGGTTGAGAACCACTATGCTAGTGCTTCAAGCTAATTAAATAATTTTATATTGTAATTACTTAATTCTATAATATTTGTGTTTCTAAGTATTATGATTCTCGATTATCCGCAATCTTGCCCGAATAAATAAAAATCTAGAAATATTTAATAGGGATGAAAAATTGTCAAAAGGAATCAATGAGAATCATTTAACGAATTTGTATAATTTGGTATAATTTATACGCTTTATCACACACAATTCGTTCTTCGTATGTAATTGTTGAATAAAAATATTTATTAGTTAGGTTTGCCTACGTAACTGGGCATATTGAAGAGCAAGAGTTCTCCATCTCCTGTGGGCTTTCGCGACAGAATTTGCGTCTTCGCATTTAACATCAATATTTTGGTGTATCTTTGAAGTACTGCGCCAAGTTTTGCCTATCTTATCTTTCTTTAACAGGAAATGCCTATTGTAACGCAATCTTAGGATGTTTATATGGTAGACGTAGTAAAAGGTCAAAATGCATTCAGGTTATGTCAGGAA